CACGGTAAACACACAGTATAATAATAATAGCTTTATTTACATATTGACATTTTACTGAATCAACATATATATCTTAATTTAAATAACTTAAATTTGATTTTGTTTAAAATTTGCCCACATTGGAATAAAAATAAACTGAATCATCTCCTTACAGCGGAAATCATTGCATCGCGACCTCTTTGTGTTGAAGTTTGTCTGGATTTTGTTCTTTCTGTCATTCTGAGGGGTGGAGCTTTTCGAAAACTCGTTCAATCATTGGCTGATTAGTATCAAGCTCCGCCCCCCAGTCGCAGAAAAACCTAAATCCCAACTATTTCCTTTGCACATTGACGTTGCGATGCAACGGTTTTTGCTGTAAATCGTGCAATGAAATTGACTGGAAACTTTCCCCAAACGTTCTTTGTTTTACTAAAATGTTAACTTTGTGTTTGTAGAATACAGCTATATTGTGAAATTATGCTGCAAGAATGTACAGAGAAACAACGTTATTGTATAACACATTGAGGATGATATTCAGTCATCCGGCCATCCAGATGTGGAGACAGTGACATTACTGACTGTAAATGATGCGCGAATAGAGCGGATTTCGTATGACTGTGCAAAAAAACACGGTACGTTCGTGCTGTGTCCGTGCCGTGCCGTAGCCGTGATGCATTGGAAAATCTTTACTTTCATTTGAAATCCTAGAAGGCGAGGTTCCATGACCGTGCCACTGCCGTGTCCGTGTTGTGATCCGTGCTTTTGCACAGTCATACGAAATCCGCTCTATGTATGCCTTCTGCATGCACTGTACTCAATACTGTGCAAGCCTACCCTCCCCCTATAAAAATAACCAAAGCCAATTAAACGTTTGAATTTAGAAAAAATCACGGCCAATAACCAAAAGGAGCCGACGGTTTCCTGTGAGAAATATATCTGTTCTTATGTCCCAGCCAGCTGTAAGTCACAGCTGGGGAAGCTTGCCAGCAAAGTTATAATACATTCAGAAATATGCGGAGAGGAATAGGCTCTAGGAACTTTTCCCATAACTTTTCAGGACCTTTGAAGGAAAATCCCGAGTATCTCTTAAATACTCAAGTGCTTTAATGTCCGTAAGGGAAGGTTTTTCCCAATTTAAAATTCTAGTTTAAAAATCACTTTCCCRGGAGAAAATTCGTTTAAGAACGTGCAGTTATTAAACGAACAGACCTGGTCGCCTTCGGTCTCGGGATACCAACGTACTGAGTGATCAGTGGGTTTGTCACAGTCATAAGTGTATCTAAAGTATCATTATAAAGATGTCTGCCACAATCCAGAGTTAGTAACTCACAATCGTTGTTGTTAAAGTCCCACGTGCAACCAAGATTGAATCTGCGCGATTTTCTATAACATTCGAAATTTCGCCATCTTTGATTTTGAACCAATCAGTAAGCAGCTTTTAACCACATATTAACTATTAAAAGCATGACCGCAAAGGTCGTGGGTGCAATTGGGCCTTTGATGACATCGTTATATTATTACAATTAGCATCAATCATTGACCATCAYCTTTTTTGACGGAATTTGTTTTATCGTAGGACCCTAATTTATGTCTAAATAATGTCTGAATTCTCAGTTTTCAGGTTACGTCACAGCGACCATTTTGGAGGAGCTTAAACAAAGGATTTCGCATCAGTATCTATTGTTCATTTCTCTAACATGGCCGCCGGTCTTTAATCTTATAAATCTCATGGGAATGGTTGAAAACGATCAATGATGCCATTATCATAACATATGAATGTGTAGTAGTCGCCAACAACATTGTTATATCAGTGTTACTTTGTAATTCATCCTTGATCTTTGTGGTTCCCGGACTGTCATCCCATGTTAATAGTAAACGTTTTTTTACATTATTACCAAGCGATCTGCAGACTGTAGTTAAATGCAGAAATGTCCGGTTTGATGACAGCTACTGACGACTACTTCATCACTGATAACATCAGTAGTGTAATATATAGCAAATGCGAGCGCCCAGATGATACTGCTGTTAGATGGTAAATACTGGACTTTTTATGAAGTCGAGCTTTCGCTGCTCTACAGCATCATCAGTACTGTTAAGATCATTAGATTTTTTGCTGAAATTATCTTACAGGTCAAATCTTTAGACCTGATTAACTAGCTGACTGCCATCTTTTTTGCAAATGACTTCAACTCCCTGAAAAGTCACACATCTTTTATTGTGATTGTTGTCATGATTTCTGTCACCGATCCGCACTCCTGATTCAAAAGGCTCGGACAATCGATTCATGTTCGCGTTATTTAATTGGCTGGATGGTGTTTCTTCAACATTGGAGTTTTTGTCCATGTTTCTCGTTAGGCTTATGTCTCTCTTGGCTGATTTAAAACTTGATCTCTGTGCTTGSGAGCGTTTTTGTACGCTAAAACTTTGCATTGGTAACGACTCCTCGACGCAYGAGCAACARCAGAAAGTGCGCATAATGCGTATGAAAGTTCGTCTCATTTCTCTGTTTCTGTAAGCATAAATCARCGGGTTGACAACGCTGTTACTGTAATGCATCCATTTAACAAACCGAAATAGYCTTAACGCCTCGGGAAACTTCGGAAAGCGCTCGGGACTAAATGTCCCTATCACGTTGACGACRAAAAATGGCAGCCATGCCAACACRAAGAGACCCGTAATGACRGCAATAGTGACAGCAATCTTAGCTTCTTGCTGCAAGGAGCGYTTTTGGGATCCTTCAGGGCTTACGCGCACTTCAGATGAAAACATGGCCGCCTTGAATATCATGACATAGACAACAATTATCATGATGGTTGGTGCYGCAAAACATGTGCTGACCAAAATGACMGTGTAAACTTTTTGCCATCGATGGTACTGTACTGGGAATAAGATAGCCATTATGAATGCGTATAACCAGGCCATAATTATCATTGTCGTGTATAACCTCGCTGAGTACGTACGATGAATAATCGGACGWGTWATAGCGAGGAAACGTTCAATACTCATAGCTGTGAGCTGTAGCACTGACGCACAACCAACAAAGATATCGGCGGTAACATAGAATATATTRACCCCTGGGTCCCTTGTACAAGTCTTGTACTGCTGGCACACKGAGAAGTAGATCCAAAGTGGAACAGAGATGAGACCTACGAGAAGATCACTCACCGCTAGTCCTACAAGGAAGGTGTTTGTGACCGTCTGAAGACGGTGGTTGTAGCGATAGGCTGCAATGACCAGACCATTACCAAAGATAATAGCAAGACACAGCAATATGTAGACGACAGTAGACCCAATCACTTCTATTTCATCATTAGGWAGAGTTGGGAACATTATCATTGGCTTTGAGACACTTGAATTATTGGCAAGTCCCGTCATTTTCGCTTGTTTGATTTCTACARTCAAAGCCTGCGTGGGATGAAGAAGAAACCGTTAAATTCTGAACTAATTAAAAATACTTCARCTTTAAGCTAATAAAAGAAATCCCTTTATTCAAATTAAGAAAAGCTATTTATTTTTAGTGTCAACAGTTGACAGCGACATTTCTTTAGATAATCATGGTGGACACAATGAAACTCTACTTCAATAAACTACATAAATTTGAATTGGTTGAGCATCGAGTATATCGARGAAGAAGATTTATCAAATCAGTAATGATCAAAATTGCGATAAAATAAAAATTACATTAAGACTTTTAAAAAACTTACGAAATAAGAACAAGCTTTAACGTCCCTAAATTCWGTTGTTATCAAGTGACGATGTACAGTTTTTCCATTCATAACACATACAATATTACTAGAGAGTTTTCACTAAAACAGTGAAACGCTGACGCAGGTCAGGGCTGCTCTTCGCGCTAATTATCTCTGTGCAATGGGMTTCAATGTGACTTTATAAAAACTCCTTTCAACAGATATTATGCTATGTGATATTCTAAAAGAATAGTCTTATGTTAAAAAAGGATTTGATATCTGTTAAATTGAATTGAACAGTTGCGTGTTCCCTATCTTATAATGTAGAGGTCAGACGGAAAGAGTATACAAAAGGGTAAATGCGTTTAATTAAGCGGTTTAAAATATAATAATAAGACTCTATTGTATTTTAGGTACAATTACAATCGAAGTTGTTCTTTGAGCTACTATTAATAAGAGAACAGAAATTAAATGTTATGCAATTTCCCATGTACTCAGACTCAGACTCAGACTCTGTTATCTAATTTTTATATATAACGCCAAAGATTTTTTATTCGGATTTTCCCTCTGTCATTAGATTGTTTTGACGTTATTTATCTGTTCTCTTTCCCTTTCTGTCAAACAAAAAACAAAGTTACTTGTCGTTCTATTGATGTACATATACATAAGAGTGTACTGTGTAATCAGTTCAGTACCCGTTAATAATTCGATACATCGATGATTATTTCAAACACACCGCGTATATAGAAAGACAGCAAGTACTAAAAGATACACGTACGAATGACACCAACGTAAAGAAAACCATCAATGGGCTGTAAAACTAAAAGTGGAAATGAAAACCACCTTTTAATTACCTCATGTTTGCTTTCGCGGCAAGGTGCAAAGCTGAAATAAACTAATGCGGGTCACGTGATCTTCAARTAACCAATCAGAGTGCAATTTTTCCCGCCATTAGTAGATTGTGTAAATAATCGCCTTTTGTAAATAAAAAAATCTTTTTTTAAAGCAAGCTGCAGTGGTAGTTATACTTATAATATTTACTTTCTCGACAGCTTGCGAAACTGCTAATGGTCAAACGAGTAAACATTCTTAGATAGCCAATCAGATTGATATCAGAAACGGGTGTTTTGATGTGTAGGCTAAGGTGATGAATGTTGGTTTCATATACATGCGATCAATTAATTGCAAACAATTTGGAATACGTTGATTGTTTTGAGAAAATGTCATATAAGTATTTTATGGGAAACTTTAATTTAATAGGGTATGGTGGTATTTTAAGTTGTTTTTAAGATGTAATTTTGCATGACTGAGCACTTCATTTTCATTCAAATTAAGTGTCAATCCAATTATCTCTGATAAAGATGTATTTTGCATCAATATAAAAGCGCATGCGTGTGGGTGAAAGTCTGGTCTATATCTATCGAATTTCCCTTATACAAGCGTTGCTATGCAACATAAACTGACAGCTCGCTAGAATGAGCTCCAGAATGATGGCTGGATATATATAATTAACGTGATAACCTGCCTTAATAAATATATTGGTTGATGTAAATGATTTTGGTTGCAATGACATCTGAGATTTTTTTCGAGGTCAGTTTCTGTTTTGGCTCAACGTCTAACCATCAAACCATGGCATTTCATTGGGGACAACTTGTCACACACCAGTTAATTCTCCTAAGTGGCCGCCATCTTGATTTTAATTGTTTCAGCCAATCACTGACTGTGATTTGATCAGCTGCARAYGMGCGTTGCACGAAAAGTTGTYCAATCAGTTTATATCGAAAAMATWAAATTTCAAATCAGTTCTTTTTTGAGATCTGCCCAGTWAAYTTGYAATTCTAGGATCAAGTATAAGGCGAAGAGCTGACTGAGTTCTTTTTGTCATTTAAAAACATATCTTAAGGTCTTTCATACCTGATTCGCACCCTTGAAGAATAATTTCCTTGGTTTTGAGATATATCATTTGTTATAGCCCACTATTTGTAAACGCAATTGTCGGTTAATATTTCTTTAGGCAAATTGAGTTGAGTTGCTCAAACGGTCGTCTGAAAATGTTCGGCGTGGGAGGGTGCGAACACGTAAGAAACTCCGTCCTTAAATAATCTTTAGTATCGATCGTGATTGTAAGAATACAGCAAAAAGACCTTTTAGGAAGGAAATTCGACAACTTCTGACACTTAAAGTTTGCGGCGTCGGAAGTAGATTCTACAGAAAACATGAAAATCTAACACTTTAAAAGCATTCAGATATATTTGCTTGGTGATAAAGTAAAGATATATTGATTCAAAACGCTTACCCTAGCAGTTTATTTGYCGGGGACATTTTGCTCTGTATTSCAATAGTTTGCGGATTCTGGGGCAACTGCTATCGAGTTTTTARGGGTGCGATATATATTCCAAAGAATGTTAATCAGGGCGTGATCAAGAAAGAAGRAAAAACTGTATATGATATGATGAAAATCAAGGGAATTAACAATTAAACAAAAAACTGAGTAATATAGTCATAATCTTTGAAATAGATGATCCTCTTGTTCTCAAATCCTCAGTCGCAAACTTTCCCCATAAAATGTATGCCCATTTAGTGACAATATGTTTGCTTTTGAACTTTGGTAAATGGGAGTTGTCATTGAGGCTTCATGTTTTTAAGACAACTATTTTCTCTCGTTGCTCGTTCTGATTGCATCCYTTTGTGCACGAGTTTGCAAACTCAAAAAGTCGAGGGAAAAACTAGTGTCATCCAGGAAAAAATAGTTTTCTGGATTTTTGTTTGTACATATATATATAGCTAAAAATCAAATGTGGTATGGCTGAGCCAAACATAGCAATTCACACAGTGAACGTAGAGGCAATCCCGTCATTCCTTACAGACTACTAAATATAAGTTATCCTGAAATAGCAGGGAAGATCGAATTCCTTTAGTACACAGAATTACTTTCAACACAGCTTCTTCCCGATTAATATTGTCCTCAGAGGCAGCAGGTTGCTCCTTTGCGATGGTACGATCAAAATAACCTAAAAACTTAACACTTTCTACTTACTTTTCTTTGTTAAAAGCTCCAGCAGTCTCTTTGAATGTCTATCCAGAATTCAAGGAAAAGGGACAACACTCGAGAGAACAACCACTCGAAATGAAGCAAGGTTTTTTTTTCCAGTAGGCGAGGTCTAGAAGTGACAYAAATATGTATTCAAAACATCCCAATTAACATCGGAAATCCATTATAAGTAAACAAACAGAGTAGCTGACAGTTGACGGTGAAAAGATCTACCCCGAATTGCRCTAATGTTTAAATACAAGAAAGGGTTGACATTTGACAGCAAACAAATTATCAAGCTAAAACAATTTGATCTTATTTTGTAATATGTTGTTGATCTTTGCTCTTTTGATCGGGTTTAGCAAGAAATAAGCGATTGAGCTACATAAAGCACCAATCATATCAAGTTTTATAGCGTTTTTATGGAATGGAACTAGAAAATAAATTAATGAATTATGKAACAATTTAAAAATACAATGACAGCTGCCGTGACAGTCTAAACATCGCTAAACGAAAAGTGTAAATATCCTAAATAAACAAATACAGCTAAAGATGGAAAATGTCAATAGAAATACCAGAAGAATTCTCTAATGATGTTTTTGTACCTTTGCACAATAAAGAGATTCAATTCATAGAAAAAAAAAACAGTTTCTTTAAAACCCATAAGTTCTTTGAAGTTCTTGAAGCATTCAAGTATGTTGTAGGGATTTTTTGATAGTAGGGCATTGCATAACTTTTTCTTTAGCTCATACATGCAATCTATAAATTTCAAAATAGATGATGACGCCCACCTAGAGAAAATGATGGGAAGTTGATAATTTAGGTTCAATGTTTTCAAGGTAAACTTCCCATAGTGGGTTTTGCACTCAACATGACACCCGCTCATTTTAGTTTTAAACTTTGAGTTATTTTGGGAGTTGTGACATGATTGACAAGATTCATAATACTCTCCATTTTCGAATTCAACCGCTGTTTTACTTGACAGCAGATTCTCTAACGCAAAGACCTGACCAAACACAAGAAAACAAAGACCTGACCAAACACAAGAAAAGAAAGCACGAGAAAATGTTTTGTTAGTACAATACCCTAACAATTTACATTTTCCCCGAGTTGAGTCTAGCCCTGTATTCCCAGAAGTCTTAAACCTTAAATCTCATGGGAATACACAGGGTTCTATGGCATGTTCTATGGTCTCAACTCAGAGAAAATGCAAATTTTCAAGGCTATTTAATTTACAGTAACGTCTTTGCGCAAGAGAACCTGTTGTCAAATAAAGCAGCYGCGGTTTTTCGAATGGAGCATATTATCCAGTGTTGGCGAGAGTTCTGTGTAGGCAGTGTTGCTTCGACTGATCTAAGACACAAAATGCTATAGTATTTATAACAAGCTAAAAACAGCACGATTAATTCTCCCGATGGGGTCTGGGTCTAAATTCTCTCGTCTCATCATGCCATCTCCATGGATGTTCTGCCTGATGCCTGCCCCAACTATATGACTGCGGCAGGCTGTATTATCATAAAAAATATTTCCGTTAAGTCACGATTAAGGGAAAGATTTACTTTACTCGAAGTTAAATGTTTATCAAGTGAATCGGATTAGGAGAATTTCATAAACAAACATAGCGTAGATTAAGTAAGTGGCTTTGCGCGTTTAATGCACCATTCGTCCAATCAATCCCTTGATCTTGTCAGCTTTAGAGACTGAATAAACTGTAATTATTTTGATTATCTCCTACTATAGTAATTCAGTATTCATTTTGATCATCATTAGGTTTCAACAGTTTCAACTTAAAGACCGACGAAACCATTATATTGAGCTYTCTGCATATCGGTCTGATGTGTTATTACGTAAATTTGACGGAAATTGATCTATTTTGAAATGTTGCGTTCCAAATATCTTTGTCACTATCAATACAAATGTCTTGCAAATTCTGTTACATCAGACCGATATGCCTATATTTAAAAGAAAACAGTGAAAGTGAAATTCAAAACTCAGAGAGGCTAACACCATAGAGGGACCTTACAGCGATAATGTACTCACTAGGAGGAACCGACGGGTTCCTGGGAGAAATATATCTGTTCTTATGTCCCAGCCAGATGTAAGTCATAACTGGTTGCCAGCGAAAAATTTAGGAAAAAAGAATTCTCCAGGCAAGGAATACTTTCTAAGAATTTTTKCCAGGAAAATAAAAATTTCCTAACTAAGCCTTTTTGACGTACCTTAACGTGTGCCAGGAACAAAATTATTTTAAAGAAGGAAGGGTGCCACATTTACTTGTCAAGATTGTCAACAATCACTGGAAAAATACGCGCGCTATAAAGGTTGTAAATTTGATGTGTATATGATGTAAGTGTCCAAAATGATGTAAATTTGATGTAAATGATTTCCATCAAACTTACATCATTTTGGACACTTACAACATATTTCCATCAAATTTACAACCTTTATGATGCGCGATTTTTTCAAGAGAATGTAGCTAAAAATCCTTTTCCCAGGAAAATWTTCGTGCAAGAACAGTTATTTAGAAGAACAGCTCCTCCTGACTCAGCCATGAGTTCTATCACTGAGCTTGTGATTCGACATTTGTTGATAAAAGTGACAATAAATACCCTCTGGAAACGATTTTCAAACATCTAATTTTACTAAAAAAGAAAAGCAAGAAAACAAACAAAGAAGCAAACAAATTCGCATGCACCAACGATATGAAATATTATGGCACAGTAATTATTGAAAATTTAAGATCATTGAAAGGTCCTCTTGCACCTTTAGTTTACAGATTTATATCACGAATGAAATCCTTATCATTTGGTTTTGAACAAACCAGGGAGCAAGGAGAACTTTAAGCAAACAAACAAAAAAAAATCTATAAAACAACAACAACAACAACAACAACAACGAGAAGCGAAACGGATGCAACGTACCTTTAAAACATGAAAACAAACTTGCTCGTAATAATGAAGTTTTCTCAAAATTTGAATACATTATGAATATATTCTGGTTTTGTTGATATCATGACACGGAATTTCTATCACTAGCGTCGGAAACATTGTATTTACAATACCAACACGACGATATCGGCAATGCCTAGGTCTTTTAGACTCAATAACAAACCATTACTGCAGTCTAATGGTCTAAACCTTATATTTTCAAAGTTCTGACCGCCTTTAAATTACAATGTTGTGGCCTACTTAAGCACTCGTCTATTATTGTGATTGGTGTACAGACACTGACGTCGGATAATTATAGGACAAGATGCTGTGCAGTGAATAAACATTTTGTAATCTGAGACTATGAAAGCAACCCAAGTAAAACTAGTTTGTCAAAACTGACGATCCTTTTTCAGTTAGTCAGCATATTTGTGACAAGTTGCAACTTCTTATAAAGCTATTTCAGAAAACGTTGAATAATTGAATAAACGTCGGATAATTATGGGACAAGACGCTGTGCAGTTAATAAACATTTTGTAATCTAAGACCATGAAAGTAACCCAAGCAAAATTAGTTTGTCAAAACTGACGATCCTTTTGTCAATTAATCAGGGTATTTGTGACAAGTTGCAACTTCTTATACAGCTATTTCAGARAACRTTGAACAATGGAAAGCAACTTAGTTTAGAATTGCAATTTTASARCACRCCTATCGTGGATTTTAGAGSAACCAATGCATTGCGGTCTTGGAATGAAGCATTCAGTATTCAGTGTTCTCTGAATAGCTAACTGAAACGTCATGATATCATAACTATCATTTTCCTTCCCATGATCCATTTCGGTCGCTAGCTTCGATGATGTAATCTTTTTTTAAGAATAAACACTTGAATTTGTAACCACACAATTTGCAAAGGTTGATATCTGCTCTCTGGACTCTTTTAAGTCAGTAAAGTGAATACGACTTTTAAATTTATTCCAAGGCAATTCATATACAAATGTATTATTGAATAGATATAGGTAAGAATATGTGGATCGCGTGGCAATAGACAAAAAATATGACTGAAATGATACAAGAAATAAAGGTTATAGTACTTGGATAGGAAATTATTCCAGGCGAAATCTCTTTGGAAATAAATTTAAAAAAATCTCCCATTGACGTTAGAAGTTATTTTTTGTTCCGAATTAATTTATTTCCAAGGATCCTTCGCMCTGAATGACTTCCTCTCCAAGCACTATTGCTTTCTACTGGTCTATTTCATGCTATTGAGTGCTCTTTAGTTAAWAGACATTGGTCCCAAGGAAGTTGAAACCGAACTATTGAGAAAGTTTGAGTGGCTTTTTTTAGTCTAGTAAAAACAAGCATGKTTGATATTATGCAGGTATCTCGATAAGACGCGTTAATGCGTCACGTTTTCACTGTGTGGTATATTACAACAATGGAAGACGATAAGGAAGTCATAAAAATAAAGAACATGACAAAGACGTTTGACAATCAATATTAAAATACTTGAACTGGTGTCGTTTTAAGCGCAGCATAGGAGTTGTCCTTTGCGAAATACAGTGAATATGAAGAAGATAGGTAATAAAAGAGCTTTTACAATGAAAATGAAAATCACACTAACAGCTCGCTGTCTGGCAGTGAACACTTAGACTGTTTATATATATCATATATAAATTATATATCCAAGAAGAACAAGCGCTGTTTTATATCTGGTATAGAAAACAAATAATTATTGAAGAGGAAACGAACCTATATAGCAATTCAAAAAGTGAAACGTTTAAACTAGAAGCATTTTTTCAAATGTAATTAATTTCAAATGAGGAATTGTCATCAAGTGAGGGCTTCTTTAATTYCAAGCAGAACCAGATGTATAATCACGTTCCCATTCCACTAGCATTATACAAAGTATCATCTTAGTCTAATCAATAGAACAATAATAAGCGTTTCAATCTTACTTGTAGTTGAAATCCAAAGTTTTCGGTGTTATTTCCTCTTTATTTCTTATAAAACTAAATGAATCTGACTCATTATTCCGTGAACATTTTTTAAGTAAATATCCCGCCCAAGATTAAGACAAATGACTGTATATATTAAACCGCTTAAACGATAAGTTCCACATAAAAAAAAGAAGTATTTTCTAAATCATTATGATATCATAGCTATGTCAACTATGCGCCCAAGTGAAGACTCGAATGAATTTGAAAAAAATGATGTTTTYCTTACCTTTTCTCCCTTGGACTTTAAATGTAGACCCGTRAATTGTATTTCGTTGTTCACAAATGCACTTAACAGATCACTTTATCTGAAAACCTCATTCATATGGAATGCTATCAACCAATAATGTTGGGACAATCCAAATATGTGTGGATATGATAATCAAATCACAATACAAAAACTAATATCATTTATCATATCGATGGAGTAAAATGATATTGTGCTCCMTCCTTTGGCATCRTCATGGAAAGATTAACCAACCGGCTTTAATTACAATTCTTGTTTTGATATTGTCAACCGGAGTCTCRTCACGTCACTTCTAGGCGCCTTAAAGACTTTGATTTAAATACTTTGTAAAATTCATGAGACATCAATGAGTTTAAAACCAAACATAAATGACAGTTGCTCAAGTAATAGATCAAACATTTCCATGAATGAACCAACTTAAGTAACTTATTTTAGGATTTTCCACAAAAAATGTTGTCTATAGTATMAAAACACTCGAAAGCGAGTTAAAAACTCGGCTTTGTTTCCTTGTGTTTTCAGCTCGTACCTACTCACGCTTAATAACTTCTTMACACTATGATTTTCAACGAGTACCACGTGATCTAGTACGCGTGCATTTCCACAGACCCTACTAAAATATATTTAGAAATTGCAAAAAATTTGCCGACATAGACACATTGGTTCTCATTCAAYAATCCGCGACGGCCCGAGAAAAAAAATGTTTAGGGAAATCCGAAACCCAAATCGCTTATTGTTAAGCTCTTGTTAGCTTCGACAAGAAAGATTACAGGCGGCGAGGTCTTCGGGGATCAATGATCTGAGACCCCGAGTCGGAGTAAAACCAAAAACAAAAAATTGATGGCAAATATTTTCGTATGATTGCTTTCCGTACTGAMCGCTAACTCTGCCTTTTTTAAGCGCTTCAAATATTTTTTTCCATACCWTCTCAATTATCCTGTTAAATATCTGTCGTATCATTGTGCTGCMAATAATTTACATAAACCTGTATTTGAGGAAAAAAATGTACAACAATGCTACACATGTTTCACGAAACTTAAACATAGAAAATATTAAACAATTAGAGCACTTTAAATAAGACTACGAATTGCTATAGTCCATAGTCCACTTTAGTATCCACAAAACAACAATTTGAATAAAAGACCATAAAAAATACCGATTTTTTGGACATTTTTCAGCGGTCTTTGCTTCAAACGATGCGACCATGGTATAACATGTGATAGCCCATAATTTGGTGGATACTAAAGTTAAGTTTATTATTCAGCGCAGCACGGCTTTATGTAAAAGTCAACAAGATGTATCATTGGAAATGTCCATGCCAAACGTGTCATTATCAGTGTTATATCATAGTCATAACGTCTTCCTCGTCAGACTCATCAAGCGCTCTATTAAAAGACCGCAACAAATAACGTTCCTTGTTCTCGTCGATTCCCATATTAAACTCAATGTACGGATTGTCACGTGTCATCAGGGTCTCAAGAGTTTGGATGACRTCACTGAAGGATGGTCTTTCGCCTGGTTGCCCTTTCCAGCATTTCTTCATTACTTTGTACCTATTTGCACTGGAAAAAATCGCGCGCTTTAAAGGTTGTAAATTTGAAGTAAATATGATGTAAGTGTCCAAAATTCTGTAAATTTGATGTAAATGATTTCCATTAAATTTACAGAATTTTGGACACTTACATCATATTAACATCAAAATTACCACCTTAAAAGCGAGCGATTCTTTCCAGTGTTGTTAAATAGAAAATACAATTMATTTACGTCTTGTTATATTTCTGGTATATTTAAGTTTATACTTTCAGCTTACATGTCATCAGGGCAGAGGTCTGGTTTTTCCATTCGATAACCTTTTCTCAGTTGGTGTGGAAGCTGGGCGTTGGAGATAGTTGGATAGGGAGCTCCACCTGAGAAAATGAGACAAAWTTCCTATAMATTTCGAATTTAACAAACCCGAGATGTCTAATCATCCTAAATTAAGAGACGACGACCACACCCAGTCATCAGAATTCGTTGCACGGGACGATCATTTCTTACAATGGCATTCAAACTAATACTATCTCAACGGCTATAACAAAGTTATCATGAGACAAGAGCTAGAGTTTTAGAGTAAAGTTAAATAATTTTAATTCCTGCATGATATACCAGCCTGTCGATAGCTGGATAATTTTTGTGATCTCGTTTCCTGAGAAATTGATCCCAATTCGGCTTTGATCCGCTGAGACAAAATAAGTGCCGTAAATTTAAAACTGAGTCCAAAAGAAGAGCTGATCCTAATTTATCCCATACACCTCGTTCTGAATACCTTGCCAGAACAAAGGTGTGACCTGTGGAAGAGCCTCCACGTACTTGCTTACCCATTGAGTATATCTCCCAGAGAACTATCCCATAAGACCATCTGCAGAAAAGATCAGAAAAGATCATGACTCTCATCATATTTAACCCATCAACGTCGTATTGGCTCTAGCGATAGGAAGTCCTTGTTTTCCATTGTCTAATCTCCACTAAATTGACCTATTTAGCGCTATTTAGCATTTGGTAATTCATTTGTTAATCTTACACATCACTTTTTGTTGTAAAAGTCTCTTCGAAAATRGCCTCAGGTGGCATCCACTTTATAGGCAGCTTACGTCGTCCYTGAGCTTGGTAGAWTTGCTCCATGTACGTGGTTTGCCGAGACAGTCCAAAATCAGCCACTTTGACCAGGTTATCAGTTGCTAGCAGTATGTTACGAGCAGAGAGATCGCGATGTACAATTCTTTTCGCTGACAAATATTCCTGTCARCGGTATTCATGAAAATAATTAAAAAGATCCGATGAACCTTTTTACACTGTTTTCACTGGCAATACTTTAGTTAAATATACATTAAATACTCAACTTACCATTCCTTTAGCAATCTGCCAGGAAAATGAGATGAAATCACTTTCTAACTTTTCTATTGGAAAGCCGTGCTCTGTTTTCTTTTGGGGAGCTATGTCGACTTGACCTTCAAGGATTTCCAATTCACAATGATAAGGGTTTCTTGCAGACATCTATAGATTAATATCAGGCAAATCAGAGTTTAARCATCAAACCAACCGATCAGTTCATCGACCGGCAAACTTATATTTAATACCAACAACTTGACGGACTGAATCTCAAGTTGCAAAGTATAGAGCCTTCCAATGMATGTGCGTAACAATGAACTCACACATTTGAAAACTCGCCTTTTTTCCCCGTTTGTTTCTCAAAAACGTTAACAAATCCCCATTGTCGGCATACTCTAAAACCAGTAGCACATTTTCTTCTAATGTGCAGCAAGCAAGCATGCAGATGATGTTCCTGTGGTAACCGACKGTCTTCATAAACTCGATYTCAAGGAGGAGCTCGCTCTTTACTTCTTCTGAGTTTGCTTCGCCTTAAACAAAATTAYTAATGTCATGGGATGTTCTGGGATGACTGATTCTCTAAAAAAGAGAGCTATAGAGGRGATGACAGACATCATAATGTTTTGGGTCCAAWATWCAMATCAGCCACGCAAATAAAAATGTTCATAGCCTTTTTTACACTGGAAAAGTTGATTAGTTGACCGAGTTGGTAAAAAATATGCAAATATTCACTGTAAATATGCTAACATTAGAAAGACCAGTCACTCTGAAGCTTACAACTGTGTGGTGTTTTCACTGCAACTACCATAGACTCTTTAGAAGTCAATTTTGGTGMATTGTTTCCACCAACTTCAGCTGGTATCGTCTTGTTTCGGAGGTCTTTCCTCCGGACGTATCCTTTCCATACTTTACCAAATGCTCCTTGTCCGAGTTCGTCTAGCAGCACCACTTTGTTGGATGAGATTTCCCAATCGTCTAGACTTCTAGAAAATTAAGAAACTATAAATTAGCCGAAATTAAACAACTGTTTTGTCCACAAGGCTGTCCCATCACGTATCGAGTTATTGGGGGCAGTACAAGCAACTGAAAAGGAGTTTCCATTTCAATTTTCATGCCCGGATACACATCAAATTGCATTTCTTTATAATAATTTTGGAAAATCCAGCTGGTTAGTAAAGTCTTCAGTGGCAACATACACGGCTAAGATTAAACTGAAAAGTCTGATGCACGCATGGTAGTGAAAATTWATAGTAGCCTGTTATACATTTTTAAAAAACATACGGTAGAAGAATATCTCTATATTCTGTGACTATGCGACCTGCTTTTATATTACATGACCAGATTGACCTTCCTTTAAATTCATTGCTTTCAATCATTAAGCAATTGATGCGTTTAAGACTTTGAAATGTTATCATAAAGTAACATCAATATCTTTCTTACCTTTTGTATATTTTTGCCTTCATTTTCTTCCGAATCACAATGAAACAAAAGCCAACCAAAATCAAAGCAACTGTACTGCCTAGTACCACTCCCACAATATTCTTAGTAGAGATCTTGTTCACTTTGGAAATATTAGTGACAGTCGTTCGGAACGAAGTCGATATGCCCCTGGAAGCAACTTGTGGTCTTTGTGTTGTTACTATGAGTTGGATTCAAATTAGTGAATCTCAGATCTTGTACTTACGCTACAGATTCACCAGATTCACTTTTTTTAAAGCTACATATTTGTTGCCAAATTAATTTGGAAATACGTTATCGTCAGTTACGTCCGCTGGAGCCGATTATGCATCTAAGATTCATTTTGTTGTTGTTGATGTCACACTGTTGATGCATGAGGTCAAAATAATGCAAAGTAGATGCTTTATTATGTTTAATATTTTGCTTCTAATACTTTTATTAACATTATTTGTTTCTTATTACTATTGTTATATCATTTGTTTTTCTGAGTATGTGCGTATTCTCTGACATTGATCTATCGTTGACTATATCGTAGATCATCATGATGATGAAATGCTTGCTATACATTTTTCTTACCAAATTTAGTCCAAGTCTTCAGTTGTATSTTGAATGCACAACTCGTTCCTTTTYGATTAGGGACAAGATGAAACATCAAKAGTTCCCCATTGAACGTTATAAATGTTTCCTTTGCTTTGGTGAGCAAATAMTTTTTGGACATCAAAAGCTTTCCTTGAAGAGTTGACCCACTTATGACATCTAATCGCTCCTGGGAACATCCKTGTTTCAAAGCTGACCCCAATGACACTGTTACGTTTAAACCTCTTCCCTTTGGCACCTTAAATGCCCATKCACAGGYAATGTAGTTTTGTTTTTCTAGTTCTTCCTTTGTTATAGAAACATTGAGCTCGGTGCTGGTCCTGTTAAGCAATGTCAATGGATTTGCGGCACCTGTTGGAGAAAGTGAAGGAWTTTTTTTATATATCATTCCTCGAGCTGCAGTCTCGTTATGTATTTGTATACATCTAAAGCTTGCTCCTCGGTGTTTATATCCCGGTCATAATAAGCAATTGAAAAGAGGAAAACGTTTTAAACATTAACTTAAAATTTTAATTAATTGGGATTTGATCTTGGATTTGGAGTCCAATTGTTTTCAGCGAGTCCATGTGCAGCCAAMCTGTAAACTTACCTTCCTGAACAGCAATGTAAGCTGCGCTAAAAGCGTTCATCTTAGTCCATTCAGTCTTGTATCTTATCCACATGTAACGACTCGATGACACAATTGGACATCTATAGTCGCTACCGCACAGTTTCACCAGTACAGGACTATCAGATTTATCGCCATCCCGTGCTTCGAAGTAACTTCTAACACACTTGATTGATTCATCTACTATAAAGTGCGAGAATCGGAGAAGAACTATATGGCGTAATGGTGCTGTGATCAACCATGTGCAGAATTGGTCAAGTGGTGAAAAGTTTGGAAACTGCGGGGACATGATGTACTTCGTTTGGTTTGTTGATGAATTAAGGTTCTTCACGCTTGAAATTGGGCATCCTATGATGAAAGCATACATAAATCAAAAATTGAACCTTTTTCAGATCTGAAGATCAATTGTACTCCATTTGTTTTGGTGTTGTTTTATCCAGATCTCCTAAATTTTCTTTGAGGTTATACGACGCACAAATTGCGCTGAATTAAATGCAATTGCAGATTACTCATATTTTAAAGCTTCAGACCAGAAAATGTCCTTTCTAGACAAAAACCCTGTAGATACACGATATATAATTTGACGTTGATTTTATTAATATATCGAAGAATCATCTGTAATAKTATGCTGGCCCACAGAGTCCACGACACGCGCGTTGCATGATATTATTCGGTCGCAAAAGAAGGATTTGATAAATCGAGATCATCACTTCCCTCCAATCTAGATGGGAATTTGATTTTTTGACTTCTCCGCCAAAACCACTCATCTTTGACAAAAGCTAAATAAAACGCTCCAAATCAAAACTTTTTAGAATTTGAATTGCCAATGAATGTTGCTAWATGTATTCAATCATGTCGTAGCGCAATAATTACATTTTATATAATTACGTACTGACATCCTTTTTTCGGATTCATTTTTGTCCGCCAATTCAGTTATAAAAAGAATTAGATGCTGCAGCAAATGTGAATACTTACTTGCTTCATTAAGAGAAACTGCTGCTAATTCAGCTGTAAATTTAAAATCGTACTTGAGTCTGTTGAGGACCTTAAAACTTTGATGATACCCTATAAACATATTGCGCCCCGAGGAGAAAAACGTTGGTTTGCCATCCATGTTGCATCGCCATATARATTTTCTTGTCTTGAATGAAGAGTCATAGATGTCAAGTCGGTGACTCCTCYTGGCCCGACAACTCTTATCAAAGGGTAAGAATYTAAATTTGAGCAACACCAAATGATCACAAGGCACGGTCACCAACCATTGGCACTCGAAGGAATAAAAATCGMTGGCGCTATCGAGATGAATGGTTGAATTATCTTCATCATATTCTTTTTCCATGTTAAAGCGTAGAATTYCAGGTGGTGTAATTTGGCGTGGCGATCTTTTAGAACAGCCTTGAATAGAGGGAAGAAATAGAAGCTGAAATCTTCTGAACTATATAATTCTATTTTATGCTTTTGTGCTTAAGTAGGAGTTCAATCGCAGCATTATTGAAGGTTATTAATGCGCATTTTTTCGTCGGATTTTATTGAAGAAGAAAAAAAGGAAATTTTCATTCATCTCACAATGCAATACCAGAAGTCTCCTTTACGCCTTCCTGCGCCATCTTGAAACATAGCCTTGCATACGTAAARGTGCGGYTTCWTTCAAAATGGTGCACGGAACCGTGAAGAAGGCTRTTCATGCAGGAAATGGCTCGTACTARATAAATAGAAATTTTCGTCGAAAGTTCAGAGTACTAGTTATTTCTTAGGACTATTAAAGCTCATTTACCTCCATAGATATCTATTGAYGAGTTTAGTTGTCCATTTGTCCGCCCGATGATTACAAGAAAAATTCCACCAAGGATAGTGCGATGCATTTCGTTAARACAAAAACCGAATACCCCCTTTTGCAATACTTATATCAGCAATCAGCAAGACAAGCATGGGAGTATTACATTTCCTTAATAGGATCCTTAATTCAAAAAATAGGTCGCGCACGTCCAAAATTCGGTAAACGACGCTATCAACTGCAAACCTGCAAACGTACGTGATGGATAATAACAGAGCAAAGTCTCAAGAAAGATCTATGAGAGATTCTATTACCACGGAATGGCCTTAGGGACTACTTGGGCTCAGTGATGAGAGCCATATTGTTGAGTTCTAGATCTAATTTTTCGAAATTGGTAATTTTCGCCTGTTACAAAAGCAAGATAACGGAAGAGAGGTTGTTAGACAATGTTTTTCCACTTTCGTAATATGAATAAGAAGAAGGCGTTTCCGCGAAATTTCAAGAGCCATTGATTAAGTTATACCTATTATATAAGTTAAGTAGGTTGTTTTCGAACATTACCKTCTTTAAATTTTTAAAACCCTCGTCTGATCAATTCTTACATATGAATATTAATTCTTGCCTATGTATAATATACTAGGGAATAACAAACGACTAGTTTCGAATATCTACCAAATGCGGTTGGGTAGCCCCATTTAGAAGCGTCTTCATGTTTAAAGACTCGTTCATACGCTAGGTTAAGTATACGCAATGCTCATTGCCTGGATTTTCACCTGGATTTTCACCTGGGCACCCCCAAAATGTTAGCATTAAATGTAGTTTTTAGTCCTATCACAGTCGTCGATCGATGTCACGTGCATAAACATTATATGTCTTATATCCCGACAATCGAGATACTTCTAAATAAAGAAAGCATGAAGGGTTCATCAGACATTTTCAAATAAAATAATATTCATTTGTAATAAGCTGAGCTGAGCTATCCACTCAAAAAGATTTACACAAATAAAACAAACTAAAACAGAATCAATCGTGTCTCCAGTCTTAATTTAKCTATTGTAGCAGTTATCTCAACGCAATCTAGACTAGTGCGACTATATCTTTCTTCCTATCGCTCGATATAAAAAAAAATGGAGAAAAATAAACTCCTTATGTCATGCGTGTATTTTTTTGGATGTTTTTCTTTCTCTGTCTGTCAAAACTCCCTCTCGAGTGCCAAGTATTCATACCATTAATTTTTTATGATAAKCAAACAGTCCTCGTTAAATATGGAACATACTGGACGTCCGTATATACCTGCACTCATTATTTTCAAAATTGTATTAGATAATGGCCTTATATTTGATGCTTTTGGTGCTTCTTGGAAATTTGTTCATATTTCTAAATATTATTGTGAATCCCTCGCTTGGTGATGTGCTTAGATCTGATTGCAAAAATGAGGGAATCTTCAGCAACGTTATACAAGGTAAATTAAAAAATAAATAAATGATCCTGCAGAKGATATTATTAGATTCGGAAATCAATTTTTTTGGCTGTATTTCAGTCAATAAAATGAATTACTGAGATATCTAATATATATAATTACTGATATCTAATGTGTATAATTACCTATATATAATTTTCAGTATGTTTTCTTTTGGATTATTGTCCTATTCGATTATAGGGCATAAAAAAGTCTGTACTATAGAGGTTTGTTTGATTATTTTTCCTTATCATTTACGCACGTCTATATATTAGTCCAGCAAAAACCTTCTTTATATAGAACAGTATGAAGAAGACTCTTTAAAAGATTTTTTTGTCGCTAAAAAAAAATTGCCCATGGATGTATGCTCACAATAGAGTTCATAGTGACATAATTAAACAATAAATTCAACAAAGTTTGTGAAATACACGCTCTGATCCAAGCTAAAAAAACAAGAATATGCATTAATTGGTATTTTTAAAGCTTATCTATGTATTTTATGACTAAAAATCGCATTAAGTTYAATTTTAATAACTAAAAAATGTTATTGTGGATTGCTTTATAGTAATTTTTATCAACARTCATGGATAATATACATTGGACACGAAAAGAAATGAAAATAGCCACATAACATTGTACAGGGATTGTAGCTAGACAGTATAACTAGGCTCTGCATCATTCTTGTACCCAGATCCTTAACGGAAACCGAAGGCTTTTATGAGTCGCTAAAAGATGTTGTGTTTATATATAATATTCATTGAAACAGCGAACATCTATACTAAGGCTATCCTTAGCCCTATTCAGACTGGGCTTTCTTTTTCAATCTGTGATTGTGGGGGCTCATTCGGCCCCCCTCAATATCTTCGGAACCAATACGTTTATGAGCATGAAATTTTCACACAATGGTCGCCCACGTAAATCGAACCACCACACCCAGTCTTGATCCGTGGGAACCAAATGTGACGTCATAACGACGTCATTTACACCATTTTAACGATTTATAATTCATTTTAATAAATTGCCTACAATTCCATAGAGAATGCTGCAATATCATCTGATTATTATTGAAATGACTTGAAAATAATATTTTTGTATTTTTTAATTGACCCYTGTTCTATATGACGTCACAATGACGTCATAGATATCAGGTAATTTTTATAAATTATATATCTATATCTAGATAACCAGTTAAACATCATATTTAGGCGTTACTCCTCTCCTGTGATGTTGTGGTTCATTTTGTATCCATGGTAACAGTTGTGACGTCATAATTGTGATGACGTCATTTCCCATAGTGTCTTTGTCGTCTTTGAATAATTTGACTCYAAATCTCACTTTTTTTATCTACATCGACTTTTTATGGTAAAATTTACAATTTGAGAAGTTTTTGAAGTTAAACAATTTGGAACAAGCAATTTTGAAAAGAATATCCGCCATTTTAGGATCCGCCATCTTGGATCGCCATCTTGAATTTTCTTAAATGCCATTAAAAAACTAAGCATTGAGGCAAACAGCTCAAAATGTCTGAAATACTTCTCAAACTAACATTTAATGAATAAAAAAGTGAGTCTCGAAGTGTTACTGATGATTTTAATGAAATATTCTCCCATGTGAAAAAAATGACTGAAAATTAACTACCCACCCCTCCCCCAAAGTTTTTTTTTGTCGAAAAAGTATTATGGTATTGTAGAGTCATCAATGGGAGCAAGCTCAAATAGGTAAAAGATGCATAATRAAACAAGAAATAAGCTTTAAAAATGAAAAATTAAGCTTATTTTACATTTTTGAAAACCTATGTGTCAAAAACTGGTTGCCATGGCGACATGGATGACGTTAAAACAAAAAATTTATATCAAAATCTGCCCAGATATATTTTAGGAAAAGTCCGAAAGTTTCAGAGCTCTAGCTGTCTTGGTTCGAAAGTTATTGGCTTTTTACGCGAGGGGGGGGGGAGCTCAAAAGGCCCCCCCACCAGTCTGAATAGGGTAAAAATAGTACTAGTACTAGATAATCATTATCTTCTGTATTGCCATTGGAGCTCCGCTATTAGGCGTTACCTAATTTTTGATGATTCCCCTTAACCCTGCCTGGCAATTAAGATTCAATTGAAAAATCGCTTTTTCTTTTTCATAAGTCAAATTAAAAATGYGTAGAAGTTATTTGACTGCTTTTAACTTAGGAATTGATCTTCGATTCGAAGCGATTTCGAACCGGTTCTACTACATTTTTTTATAGCGATGTCSACTTGCATGACCAGTAGCCAATAATCACATTCCAGATTTTAGTTCAAAATCTTTAATGAAAATGAGAACATTATAATTCAATACTTAACCAGTAATTCTCTCAGCAATTCTATCTCAGAGTCTGTGAATTRTTTTAGCTAATTTTTGATTGGCCGATCTGTTTTTTAAGCGTTTTCAAGGTTGTCATGGAAACTGCTGAAGATATTTAACTGAAAAGCTGTACTCTAAAGGTCTTAGATCGTTTGCTTATCCTTTTTGCCAGCGATCGGCTTGTTCAGAACAAAGCGAGTGTTTGCTACGTGTTTTAGAAGTAAGCTTCTTTTCAAAAAGAGCCCCTAGACTAACAGGAAGTCCCCTTAATCTATAAAAATTGAGAAGAATTTGAACTTACTTTCCTGTTTTATCGTAATTTCAGACAAAGCGCTTGAGAAYAACATTATGCGAAGTCTGATCACTCACACAGCAATAGATTGTGCGTTCAACTGTATTCCAAGTCAGCGGTGCCTATCATACAACTATGCACCATCTACACAAAAATGCGAGTTGAGCAATGAAACCGTARCGACCAAGCCTGGTGACTTTAGGAGTAGGCCTGGTACGACGTACTTCGATTCTGGGGTTAGTGCAATGTGCAGTTAAAATATCTGCATGATATTAGTGTGTGATATACTCTAATTTTGAATTGCTTTTTGTAGACTAATGCCTTTTGTAAAAATGGCGGAACTCCTCAAGCTCAGTGCCTAAGTCATCATCTCATAATTTGCTCCTGCACAGCGAGGTGGACTGGGGATGATTGTAGCTTGCGTGAGTATCACTATAGAATATTATTGCTACACAAAAAACACCAAGTGATATTGATGTTGCAGCATTTTCAAGCATGTTCGCGAAAACTCATGCGATCGTCGCGCAGATCGCCGCAAGAATCGCTCTGAAAAAAATTGTAACGARCCWTACAAAAAAGTCGCCTTGAAATTATCAGAACAGCATCYAGTTCTAGCGAATGATAAATACATAGGCCATTAAAAATGAAGATATTTATTTTCTAACTTACAGCTAAGATAGGCGCCGYCAGTTCYTTGCCAGGTCCTTCGTGTCGTGCTATACGGGATGCTGGTGACTCAGTAGGTGACGATGACTACTGGATGCAGCCACCAGGAGTCAACAATTCATTTTCTGTTTTCTGTCACGTTTCTCTTCTTGGTGGTAAGTTTTTTAATCTCTTAAACCATAAAAAAAAAACATTAGCCCCCCGGGGGGTACTCCCCTATCTTTGCTATACGGGTATGTGCCGCTCGATAGGGTCTCTTTTTCGGAGCTCCAAGTCTGGGATAAGGTATCATTTTTTGCCCATTTGTCTGGGATAGGGTAGTCTTTTTGTCTGGTAAAGGTATTTGTTTTGTCTAGGATAGGGTATAGTCTCCATGTCTGGGGTAGGGTGGAGTTCTGCCTGTGATCGTATCTGCTAGGCCACGATTTCAGCGCTAAAATAATGTAGTTTGGTTTGGGATAAGGTMAGGATTTTGAGGGTTGTGCGGCACACCCCCACCAAAGTTGGGATCGAGTACCTTCCCGGGTCTTAGACTCATCGAGTGCCACATCAAACAAATAATACGTGGTATGATTATCTCAATGATTTTTTCCTCGTTAGTGTGGAAAAAGGTAGACCTCTCATGGTTTCAAAGCACAACAAAGTCGGGTGTCACAATTACCAAAAGCGAAGTTGACGGGGGATTGGTCATATCTGGCTCAGTWACAAACTATGGATGTGCAGGTGGACCTGGCTCGGCTTCTATCATCTACATCAAAGGTTTCTGGACTAAAATCAGATACAAACAGAAATTTAGAAAACWGGCATCATGTTGGCGAATTTTTGGAGACACTGGGTAAGAATCGTTTCAGTGAATGGGTCTTTTTAAAACGACCTTGTAAAATATAAAGTTGAACTTTATAAGACGAGTATTACTTAAATTTCATATTATTAATACATTTATCATGTCCATGAAAAGGATGTAAGAAATTACACAAAATTACACTACAATAAATGCACTCTATGGAAAATGTTTTTGATATTTTTATAAGATAAGGTAGGATTTCAGGTACATTTTCTGCTGAGATTCTAAATAATTCCTTGTTGGATGTTCTTTTTTGCATACTATGTTGTATACTATCGATTGTGATTGATACTTGAAAATTTGAAGTTTCCCTCACATCGATCCATTTATTCTTGACTGTTTGGATATTTTTCGTAAATTTATTGATTTTCAGCTCACTTTTTTTATCTGCAAATATATAGTTACGACGGTAAAGGTGGTCATGTTGGAAAGATCAACCATGGACTGATGCCATTCGAAAAGGCACAAGACGAGATTAGTAATGAATATTACATGGGAGGAAATTCAGGTAACAAAATGAGTTCGTCACACAGTATGTCCCATTGATGCTGTTAAGACTGGCATAAGACAATAACAAAGTCACTTCCATATATCATATTTTTAAGTTCTTTGAAAGAACATTGAACATAATATACAGTTGCAAATCCTTACAATTTCAAGAATATTTATCTGGTGTTGTAAACTAAAATTCTTCCCGCGAATTTTGAAAACTTTTTTTTATGCAAATGACTTACTTTTTTATTGTCTTTGCAACTTAATGGGATTGACTGCATCTGATAAATAAAAGAAACTGTTTTTTTTTTCTTCAACCAATGGCCTTGTTGAGCWAGTTGAGAAAGTTAAAGTGATTCGACTGCGAATACCGACGCCCTGGTATATAGTGACTATTAGAATACGCATTTTCTTAATTGCAGCCTGTCTGAATCTCACTGTTAAACTATCCACTTTTGCTTAATACAGTTAAAAGCGAGACATGATTTCATCAAAACCATGACAACCCCCATTCTTTACTTAAAGAAATTAATATAGAGAGCATGAAAAGAACCTAGTAATAGAAATATAAAGTTTGTATTTTCTTTACTAAAGCATTTTTGAATTTCCAGCAGAAATTMATTGCCATATTGCGCACTCCWTCACTACTTTGTCTAACGCTTTAATTAGGATGTTTATTTCCCCCTCAGGCCACAAATTCTCTGGTGTAACTAAAAGGTGCGATAATAATGCTAACCACAACTTTTGGCGCTCGACAGCCTCCGACCTCCGTCATGCAACGGTGACATTACGAAGAAATCCTGCCATTCCTTTAGCTGGAATATTCACAGGAACAAGTTGTGGGACACCAACTTACGTCATTTCAGATATTTATATTTATTTTTAGCAAGAGTCGATGAAGWAGACTAAGTCGACGTCGATGTCATTTTTTGTGTTGTTTCGTTTCATATTTTGTTCTTTCTTATTCATTTTGAAACCTGCAGCACCTGGGATTCTACCTCAGTATCTAATAATCCGTTTAGTTCACTGCATTCACTAGAGGACAAGTTGTAAATAGAATATATTGCTGACGAATCTTTTTTGCATTGACATACTTTGAATGATTGAGTGACAATTTTTATACAGAACAGTGACACACATGTAACTTGCATGAGTCTCAATTCAATGGGCAATCTTAACTAGTTSTACTTACAGGGATACACCAGCATTGAAGGTGGTCGTATTTAAGATCAGATTCATATGTTGAAAATGAGTTCAAATATGCATTTGCAAACGGTTCCAGCGGATTTCTTAGGGATAGCAAAAAGAAARAGTGTCTGTTTATATTATGATTTATTAATATTTTCAAACATAAACAAAAGCTCGAAAAGGATGCCGTTTGTATCATGGAACTTTAGGGAGATTAAAGTTCTTGGCCAAGTTTGGACCAAAGTTAGTTACTAACTCTGTTTGGACGAAAGAAGACAGGATGGATCATTAAAAAATCTGGATTGCAAGTAGATTTGTTGTTTTAAATCTTGTAACAAGGTCAATGTTTTTAGAGTATATGTTCCGAGCAGATCTCACCTTTAAAGATCAGACTCCAGACTCTAAAGATGAAATAATTCGACAAAGCTCACTAAATCATTTGTGTCCAATTCTTCCTTCGGCTTCAACTGAGGTTGTTTATTGGCGAGTTTTTCTCGCTCTGACATTGTAAGTTTAAGAATTAAAAGCGCCATTAGCTAAAATCAAATGTAGACCCAATGGGCGCCATTTTAGTYCWTATCAACCGTTTGGCGGTAAAGTGCATGTCGGGTCGCGCGCGTCGCAGAGAGGATTCACCTCGAGACACATTGAGATTCTTGCAGAAAACAAAACTATTTCAATCCATCCGAACCAGTAATTAGGTGCCCTTTAGAACTCGTCAACTTCGTGTCAATTAGGCATAACACTAATGACATCACATGACAGCGAATTACGATCAGTAACCGATGTTCTTGTACGATTTCATTGTCTCTTAGTCGGACAAAAATCTTTAAATGTATTAAAAAAATTGCAATGACCTTCAGAACACTTCTGTTAGCCTTTTACATTGTAAAAAAAAAAATCTCATATTCCACTCCAATGTGTATCTAGTAGTGTATTTACTGACAGCTGGTCCAATCAATCTATTGAGGCGATTATAATCAACTGTATTAATTCAAGAAGATATTCATAATTGCAAAAAATATACGCTCTATAAAAAGAGTCTTTTTATCTATCTCTCTCTATTTGAATAAAAGTTGCTTTCATAGACCCCTGTAATGAAAAAAGGTTTCCGATCGTATAAATCTTCCCAGGCACCATGCTATCAATAATAAAGCTGGGTTGTCGGCTTAGTATTTATCTCACTACTTAATATATACCGTTCAAAATCTAACTTGTTTTTGTTCCTTCTATTCACTATAMGTCTTGGACACATGGCAAATAAAAGCKACTCTCACTGATCTATATAACGCTTTTATCTCTTTTTCAATACGAAAATATATGATTTTTGATTGTAAAATGTTTATTGAAGAAGGATAGTCTAAATGACCCTTTTATTCAATTAGAATCGATGTTATAATTGTAAAAGTCTTATTAGGATTGYGTGCGTCAATAACGTACGGAAAACTTCCTGTATACGTCCTCTGTTTTTGCCTCAAAATCTTTTATAAGCAGAAAGCAACGCAGAGATATTGCTATCTTGAGAGGCCTATCWGTTTTTTCGTACGACACTTCATCGATATTTCCAGCACAAGAACGTTTGTGCTAACAAACCGGCCTTTCAGTAAGTTTATAAATTATAGACTGATTTGTTTGCATGCTTCAGAATATCTCTTAAACATATGTGCCGAACAAATCSTTATACAATTCTATCATGTCTTTGTTTTCAGCCTCATTTCCTTAGGTTTTCAAAACTCAATTTTAGATAATAAGCTTAGCAGTGACTGCGTAATAAATATACAAAGAGCTAACATTATTAAGGCAAGCAAATGTTTTTTAATTGAGAGAAGTACATTAAAGTTATATACTAAATCTACTTAACAGGATAGCTTATCCAGTTTAAGATACTTGAAATAAGCGGTTTTCAATTAGGCGAATTTGAAACATCACGCATCATAGGCCTSTTAGTATTAATAGGCCTGRCCTTTACGATGAAAGASGATGTTCTTTTCATGCATTCAAACTGCTCTCAGCATGACGTATAAACCGATTAGGCTAAGAAATTAAAACAAGAGATTTCATGCCCAGCTTCAGCTAATAATGAACCACTAGGGATTCAAAGTGAAAAAGTTAATTGTACATTTAATATATACATTATTTAAGCAATAAACGATCGATAGCTTGAAGCGGTTTACTGACGAAATAAACCGCGCGGGATGGTTGGGAGAACACGAGAAAAGATCAGTAAATCACGAGCCGTCAGGCGAGTAATTTATCTTTTCGAGTGTTTTCCCAACCATCTCTCGCGGTCTATTTCGCCAATAAACCGCTTTTATCTATCGTTTATTGCTTTTATATTATAAGAAAAATGTTTTTAAGAGAGCAGGCTGGTTTACCGGCGAAATAAAACATAGCTTTTCTCATGAAATCCGCCAATCAGCGCGTGTGTTAGAACTGGGCTATAATATAAATTGGATTCAATAGTACAGCCTTTGACTCCAATACACAGACAGGTGTATAATATATGATTTAGCTATCATCCGTCTCACTAATGAGAATTCTAATTGCTTCTATTTCATAGAAATCTTAACAGGATTACGATTAAATTCAAAACTGATGAAAATAATCATCACAGTTTGTAGGATTTACTAGCAAGATTGGGAAATGAGTTATCATTTTCTTGTTGGAGGTGTTTTCCTCGTCGTTACAACGATGTCACATGGACAGAAGAACTATACAGGTAAACAAACATAAATGTTGAATTATAACTTAATTTTCTTAAACATGAAAATGAAATTTATCAATCTCGCTGACGAGCGCAATTGTTCTCAGTTGTTTCAACCCGATTCATGAACGGAGAGTTATGTACGCAGAGTTCCTAATGACCCACTTAATGTCTAGTTATTCAAAATATAGTGCAAAATTCTATATCGGATAAGTATAACTATAATAATTGTACACAAATTTGTACACAAATATGAGAAACACGCAAATCATAATAATGGTGAAGAACTGACCACAGAGTCGAAGAGTAATGCTTATTTAACTGATCGCAGAGACTTGCTAATTAAAAACTTCTCGCCGCCTTTCAGGTTGTTCTACAAGACCCGCTCAAAAACTTACAACGCCTGGAGTGTTAAGCTTCGATCACCAAAAGTACTATGCTCAAGATAGCTCAATCGTAAAACCCCACTTTGGACTATACTATTACACCACATGCCGATGGTTGGTGACGGTGCCACGTGATCACTTCGTGTATTTAAAATTTCAGTCTATATCTTTATACAACGATAAGAATTGCAATCCGTGGTCAAATTCGCTCATCATCTTTGATTCTTCATTCGATTCAAACAATATCAATTGGCGCTGTAATATTCATGGCAGGCCAACGTTTTTGTCATCAGGCCGTARTATGTTGATACGATTTCATCACATGTTTGACTTTGATAAACATTATATGGGCAATTTTGAATTTACAGCTGTATTGACGGCAGTCTCCATCAATAATACAAGTAAGTATTGACGCAACTTTGGATAATTATTTGATTTTAGGGGTCTGGGTATTAACATACATTTTCATGTGATCTTACTGGCAGATAAAAGTAAAATAAAACAACATGATGCCCGCACGTATATTTCTCTGATAACACGCTTTTTTCCCGTCCAAAGCGAACGACCGCTGATTTAGTAGACAACAGACTCACTTGCGTAGAGAACAAAAGAAAGCACGGAAAAATGTYGACATTACAATACCTSTACAATTTTGAATCTTCTCCGATTTGAGGCTAAGCCTGTATTCCCACGATACCTAGAGTTTGAGCCTGCTGGGAATACAGGCTTAGTCGTAAATCGGACTGGGATTCAAATTTCTAGAGCTATTGTCATGTCAACATTTTTTCGTGCTTTCTTTTGCGGTCGCTCGCATTGAAGGGGAAGAATACTTATTCAGAAAGGAATTTCTTTTTGTATGTAAAATCAGACTTAGTACTTAAATTTTATAATAGAGTTATAACTGAGAGACAACTGGCATTTGCTTTTRTGTTTGTTTGTAAGTTCGTCCACCCATCATTCAATAGTGGGAGTTAAAAGACGCCTTTGGATGAATAAAGAATAATTAAAGAAAGCCTACCTTATTGTTCTTTAGAATGTCAATCAGGAGTAACCAATCTTATTGCTACAAACCAAAGTAGACATGTCATGACGCCACTATTTCCAAGCTATTCAACGCCTAGCCAGTACTGCACATGGCTGATCACGTCAACATCACAACATGTCGTTTATTTCCGATTCTCGCATTTTAAAATAGACGAATCAGTCAAGTGTGATGGAAGTTACTTTGAAGCACGAGATGGCGATAGATCTGATAGTCCCTTATTGGTGAAACTGTGCGGTAGCGACTATAAATGTCCAATTGTGTCATCGGGTCGTCACATGTGGATAAGATACAAGACTGGCAAAGCTCGTAACAACATGAATGCCTTTCGCGCTGAGTACATTRCTGTAAGAAAAGGTATCGCGATTTCACATCTAAAAATGAAAAACAAAAARCAAAAAAACAACAACAAAAAACAATTTTGATTCACTGTGTGTATGAAACACACCTTTTTCGAGGCTAAATATGATTGCCACATTTAAGTCCCCTTTTGTGATGTAATCTCTCATGTTCTAATTGATGTTTCAACTATTAGGTATCGCTAATGCAACAGTATTGCTTGACAGCAACAGCACTGAGGTAAACGCTTCTATAACCAAGGAAGACATCAAAAGAAATGACAACATTACCTGTACATGGGCCTTTAAGGTGCCGCGGGGAAGACGWTTAAACTTAACAGTGTCATTGATGCCACYTGTGCAACAAGGTTGCTCCAAGGAACGCATAGATATCATACGTGGTCAAAGTCTTCATGGTCCACCCATAATGTCAACAAATGTCTCTATCACAACTGCTAGGACCGAGACATTAGCAATAGGTGGACAATACTTGATAGTTCGACTTGTCCCCAATCGTAAAGGAACCAGTTGTACATTTATGATCCAGATAAAAAGTTGGATTAAGACACCTCGCATCATCTTTACACCACCTTCCACAATAGGTAAGGCAACCAAGCCAACASTGGTGTCAGTCCTTACCACTTCGTACCATATGTCAACTTCTTTCACAAGCGCTGGTGCAAACGATGCAGAGCTACTTTCTCAGCCGGCAGAAAACWCTACCTGGACCAATGTTGGTGTTGGATTAGGAACTGGGGTTACTTGTATTGTGATTGTCATGTGTTTCGTGGTGATTCGAAAGAAAATGAAATCACATAGATGCAAAAGGTAAGGTAATGATATCTGCTGTTTATTGTCATGTGTGAGTTGAAATCCAAAGTGCATCATCTTGTGCGGTTCAGTTTGCTCGAGCGTCCTCTCTTTTTCAAGGAATCGATCTTTCTCTGCATGATTAAGCAATGGGGATAACATACAATTTCATAACATTTTAGGGCTCTTCGCRGCAACGTTTGGGAAATTGAATCCAGCAAAGTGGTACTGCTAGAGGAACTGGGAGAAGGAGCGTTTGGTAAAGTATGGAAAGGATTCATCCGGAGGAAAGACATCTCAAACAAGATGGAATTAGGCCAATTGGCTGAAAGTGGAGGAAACAGTGTTCTGGGACTACAAAAAGAGACTGCTGACCAGTCTATGGTRGTTGCTGTTAAAACACTTCATAGTGGTAAACTATAGCACGACTAACGACACTAATGTAGAAAAGAGAAAATATCATTAAAGCGACTTAATTCTTTTTATTCATATCAAAGAATCAAAGGAAAACTGTCGCCTTAGCCACATGACATTTGGAAATGTCTTACCTTATTTAGAATTCTTCTTCAGTGTTTTTCGGATATTTTAAGGAGCTTGAAATCATATAAAAAACTACCAGAAATTGCTAAATAATCTAATATTGTTACATTGCTTTGAAGGTGAAGAGGACACAGAAAAAAAGAACGAATTTCTTCTTGAAATCGAGTTCATGAAGACTGTTGGATACCACAGGAACATCATCTGCATGCTTGCTTGCTGCACGTTGGAAGAAAATGTGCTTTTGGTTGTGGAATATGCCGAAAATGGGGATTTGTTGACGTTCTTGAGAAATACACGGAAAAAGGTTTCAGTTCTATACCCAAATAGAGACTGGATGGAAACATTCTTTCTTCTCATACTACTTTTGAATTAGTTGAATCTGACAATCGAGCTGATCGGATAGTTTAGCCATTTGGCACTCATAGCTTGAATCATATTCATTTGCAGATGATTGCAAGAGCCTCTTGTCAAACTGAATTGTTGGGCATCTACGGAAATCAGGTCAACATAACTTCCCCAGATMGCACAGRCAGTGAATTTCCAATGCAAAAGTTACARAGTGATTTCATGTCATTTTCATGGCAGATTGCCAAAGGAATGGTTAGTTGCCAATCTTTTTTTTAACTGAAATTTTTACCATTCATTTGTATTAATTTTAAAGTTAAAAACGACGAAARCTGATATATCTTAGACTATTTCAAATGAATGCTTCTCAGGAATTTTTGGCATCAAAAAGAATTGTCCATCGCGATCTCGCTGCTCGTAACATWCTTCTAACAGATGCTTACCTGATCAAAGTTGCTGATTTTGGACTGTCTCGGCAAACCACATACAAGGAGCAAATCTACAAGGCGCAGGGACGACGTAAGCTGCCCATAAAATGGATGGCACCTGAAGCCATTTTCGAAGAAACCTTTACAACCAAAAGTGATGTGTAAGATTAAACACCTGTATGATGCTAACAAAATAATATCAATCCTCTGCATTCTGTTGTTTGAATGACGAMTATAATTGCGCTATCCACCAGATAAACCCTCATCTAGATCAAAAACTCCATACCAAATCTAAGGAGAGCATTGATAACTTCTACCGGTGGATAACTTTATTTATCCACCCTTGGAAAAAACGGCTCCTGATCGATGTTAGGAGATTAAACATCAATATAGTGGAATAGTAATAGAACCAGACTAAATAATCGATAGAGCTACCCAATTATAAAGTTTGTATTTGTATTAAATTCTTTCGCTTCTTTTCTATAGATGGTCATATGGGRTAGTTCTGTGGGAGATATACTCAATGGGTAAGCATGTATTCAAAAGATCTTCCCAACTKTCCTAATCTTTGATGTTTCATGAAATGACACTTGAAGACATTTGAGCTGAAGAATTTGGAAGCCATTGGAAGGGAAATATGACATTATATATTGTCACTGCACGAGATTAWTGTCAGTACTAACCATGTAATTTATTTTCAATTCAGGCGGTGCTCCCTACCCAACCATCTCTAACGCCAAGCTAGTGCACCAACTGAGAAAGGGTCATCGAATGGAAATACCAGACCTTTGCCCAGATGACATGTAAGCGGTGGATGATGTATTTCGATATAACAAAATATATTTTCCGTTGCATTRGAGATTGACATGGACGAGCAAAAARACTAGAAATTKAAMCATTTCTTTATTTATTCTTATACAACGTATAGGTATGAAATTATGAAGAGCTGCTGGAATGGGCAAGCGGAAGAGCGACCATCGTTCAGCGATGTCATCCAAAATCTTGAGACCCTRATGACACGTGACAATCCGTACATTGAGTTCACGGGAATCGACGAAAACATGGRATGTTATATGGTGCCGTCTTTTAACAGTGCTCCARATGAGACTGACGAGGAAGATGATACATTGGCATAGGCTCTTTTAGTAGAATCAGAGAAGAAGACGCCGAGCAGGGAAAGAGGAAAAGAAAATATCAAATTAGAATTCGAAAAGAAGAACTAGAAAGATCTAATGAAGGAAATACAATAACCGATCATGTTGAATAGAAGGCCGAGAATAGAAGAAGAACATCATTTCATTTTAGACACCAAGAAAGAGCTCGTAATTGGTGAAATTACAAAGATTCTATAAGTGGACATTTCGCCTTGCAAGAATATTTTTTGCCGGACCTTATGGCTTTGCATTATAGAATGTCTTTTGAAAATCATCCAGTTGCGATTCGTTGTGTTTTTCAAAAGTTCCTTGTGACAATTTGTTTTGCAATGCTATAGACATATCACTGACCATATTGCTAGATTAGCGACGTGCAGACGTGCAGCTGCATCATTAGGCTCTATTTGAACTCACGATATGGTGCAAATCGTAATAAATGCATGAATCTTTTTGAGAACGTAGAAACTTCAGTCAGCTCAGGATCAGTTGATTCTTAAGCTACTGGAAAGGCTACTTGCAAGGTATGTTGCTTAGCTTTTTAGTCAGTGCTGAAAAGTCACCACGCAAGGTATAGCTTAGCTTAGCTTTTTGTTTTTCCTTGATAGTGTGCAAGTAGCCACATAAAAATTGTTTTTCTGTAGGTTTAGATCGATTTTCTAAGCTTGATAACGTTTTAGTCACAACAGTCTATCTGTGGGCAAATCCAATGCAATTATGGTTACCTAAAGAGCTATGATTAATATTTTTTTTATATTACTTGATAGATTAATGAGCATAGCGTTATTATGTGATTAGAGTTTGATCATAGGACGTATCTAAAAAGGAAAAACACTAAATTAATTTGTAATTAGTAGTACGAGCTCAAAAATGCGTAAATTTATCAAAACAAGGCGTCTGATGTTATTTGGTGAGTGAAATTTTTAAATTAATATATTTCTGGTGACTCCCTAAGATTAAAGTATTCAAGTTCAAAATAAAATGTTTGAACTTTTGACAGCCATAAGGCGGCCATATTGGCATTGCTTCTATACAATTTAACCACAAACCTTGATTAAACAACCATCGTACAGTGATTAGGCTTTTTGCGGCTACCGTTTTGCAGCACAAAGGGAATTGAATAAGTCATTATACTGAAAGACTATTACTTCATATAAAGTCCGACGTAAGGAACATCATTTAGATAAAGGACAATTGTTAATTAAAAGGATTGACGAACACAAGTTTGAATACGTTCTAGATGGAGTTTTACGCGAAACTGGAACACAGCTGCATATCATAGTAACTAATTTGTAAATGTTATTATAAGGCAATATAGTCCATTCATCAATGGCCTATTGCGAACATTAACGAGAAAAATCATTAAACCGTTGAAACAATAAATTTGACCATTTAAGTGTGATATCCAAATTGAYCCAAAAACTGAAAACAACGCAACTAGAGCGTACTAAGATGTATTAATTAAATACGTATTTCACGTGTTTTTTGTTGTTGTTCTTTTTGTTTAATTCATGCACCCCAACATTTGAGTGTTAGGTGAATGATATTTAGGTTATAAAGTCAGTTCCAACAAAGAACGAGTTGAAATTTTCATGTACGTACTTGGAGTTTTGTGTCCAGCAGTAATGCTCACGTCCATGAAATATTATGCAATGGTATATCATAAAGTCAGTTCCATCACAGACCACGTTGACGTTGTCGATAAGGGCAATAAGTACTCAAAAATAATCAAGGATGTAAAGAAAGAACACTCAGAAATCAAGCACAATAAGAAAGAAATGAAGAAAGAAATATAGTGCAGGAAAAAAAGTCATATAAGTAGTCATCTTTTGAATCTCATGAATGGAAATTGTTGAAAACGATCAATAGGCAAGAAGCTAAACTGAAAATGCCGCTCTCCAGCCAGGTTTATACCAACATTTCTGGATAGGTTTTTWAAAAAAAAWTATTCGTTTTTTGTATTGCAGGAAATGTATTGCACCTTCCTTGTTGGACTTTTATTTGTTATCAACGGGCCATCACACACAAATGGACAACAAAAGTCATCAATAAATATAACACTTGCAGGTAAATGGGCTTCTGCTGACACCATGGATAATTTCGCTAGTAACAACCAAACGTCTAGAGTAAAAAGAAGTGACTTATATAAGACATATAACAATCGTCTATACCTCTCTTTATAAAATAACGCAATAGGAATCAACATTATTTATAATCGGGGGAAGGGAGGGGGGGGGGGTGTGGCCTTCTAAAATTGCATAAAACCGGGTAAAAACTATAGACACTTATATGTCTCGTGTAATTTTTTCAATACAAAAAACAATGTTTATATATGTATATAATTATCTCAAAACATTTTATTGTAGTTTTTTTTTTCTTTGACATTTTTTTTTCTTTGACAAGAACATATTAGAGCTTATCCTTGTTCATTTGCTGAGTCGCAAATCAAAATGTGACCCTCTCCATATATAAAGGTTTACCAAAATATGCCAACCCTCCTAAAACACACATTCAAAAGAATTTCTATGTCTCTTCCCACAAATTTATATAGATAGTGTTAATCCTCTAGTATGACAATACCCGGGATTTAAAATAATGGTTTCCCTTTTTTTAACTTACATTTCTTCTTTATATTTAATAAAGGTTGCTCTGGAAAACATGGTCAACAGAAAATTACACCACCAACCGCGTTGTATTTCAATTTCAAAAACGCTTCGAAAGCTGATATTAATAATAAAGTCACGTGTCGTTGGTCGGTGGAGGTGCCGTGTGATCACGTGTTGCTCCTAAAATTTCGAAATTTATCGTCGTCACCCAATAATAAGTCACTCTGGAATCACGATTGGCTTGATGTTTATGATTCGTTATATGAAACAGGAAAAATTAACTGGCGATGTAATGTGCATGACAAGCCAAATTTTTTGTCATCAGGCCGYAACATGGTTATAARATATGAACATTATCCCASATCAAACGGGAAAGARAACAAATTACAAAATTTTGAATTCACAGCTGAACTGGAAAAAATTCCAATTAATGACGCAAGTGAGTATCGAGAGGAGAGGAGAGGAGAGGAGAGGAGAGGAGAGGAGAGGAGGAATGTATTATTTTCTGTGAACATTTTGATGACTTTGTCAATTCATTCATTCCTAGGATGTCCGCCATCAATCGTGAAGAAACTTGACTCAAAAATAAATCAAACCAACCACATTATGTCCCGGAATTTTCCAAACTATTCACGACTTGACCAGTTCTGTACATGGCTGATCACATCGCCAGAGCAACATGTAGTTCATCTCCGATTCTCGCACTTCACAATARATGWTTCACTTGGATGTGATAAAAGTTACTTCGAAGCACGGGATGGCGAAAAATCTGATAGTCCTGTATTGGTGAAACAGTGCGGCAGTGACTATAGATGTCCAATTGTTTCATCGGGTCGTCACATGTGGATACGATATAAGACTGAAGGGACTAAGATGAACRYYTTYCGTGCAGCTTACACTGCCGTGGACCAAGGTAACTACATTGATTGGTCACCAACAAAAAGGAATTCTTTCTTCAGTTCACTGTTTTTGTTGACGCTGACATTGWTACTGATTTTCTTTTTTTGTTTCTTTTTGGAAGTTAYTGAATAACTTCTATSAAACCTGACAATATTAATTTTGAAGGACAAATACCAATGCCGTTATGTAGTTATTTGTTCAATGCGTTTTACACCAACTTGAAAAAGCATCACCAAAGCTAAAGACTCAAAAGAAGCATAGGGAAGAAAATATTTTAATCACAACAGTTTTTCAGCATGACAAACAATTGACTGCACTAAAAGAAATGACCTTGAAAAGAAATGACCAYTAATAATTTTTAAGAACGTTTGGACATTCCTGATATTTATGTAATCTTAAAATGCAAAATATTCAACAGAKGATGCTCRYCCAGTAACAGTACTCAACAACAGYAATACTGAATTCARCGTGTCTATAACCAAGGAACAACTTGAAAGAAAAGACAACRTAAMCTGTACATGGGCCTTTGAACTTGCAAAGGGTAGACATCTAAATGTAACACTGACGCCGACTGCAAAACAAGAAWGGTTCCAGGAAAGATTAGAAGTCACAGGTGGAAAAAGCYTTRAARAAAGTTTTCAAGAAAGTCTTAGTCGAGAAAACGTATTGATGTCGAGCTCCAAAATAAATGAAACATTCAGAACGTTTAATAAAGAAATCTACTTGAYGTTTCGTCTCTTCCCTAATCTAAAAGGAAAGAGTCGCATATTCAAGATTCAACTTAAAACTTGGATTCCAGTCAAAATAGGTATGAAAACATCCAGAGTTTATATTAACTGATGTGCTGTTGCTGTCACGTGGTTAGAATAGACGCGATWAATCCCTTTGGCTAATTAAAAATACAACTTAATTATAAAGTTCAATCATAAAAGTAATCTTTCTGTGAAGGCACCAAAATAGTTTGCTTTGAAAAATGTTGTATCTGGAATTAAGAAAAATGTTTTAGCTTTCCTCAACAAACAAAAATAATTCCATAAAACTTACCAGTTTGCATTTAAATAATAGAAATGAAAGAAAAACCAACAACAACAACAAACGCAACAACAACAACAACAACAGCCATGTCCACAGTCTTGTCAAATTTGTTGAGCACAACGACTGTCACTCAAGCTGTCACTGAAGCATCTGTCTATAACTCCCCCAAAGAGACCAAAATCTCTACTTGGACCATTTGGGGTGTGACATTTATAGGAACTGCAGCTGCATTACTTTTGTTTTTTCTGTGCATATTTTGCATTCGGAAGAAACTTAAAGCAAGAGCATACAAAAGGTATGAAATCCATTGATTGGTTTGATCTATTTTTGTTACGCAATGCATGAGGTACTTGTCTGCTGTTCAAAAGCCGCAAATTAATGCCAATAGACAGTGTGCAAAACAATGTATATAAAAGGTATTACTAAACCAGTTAAGCATCGGACTTATATGCGCGATGTGAGAACAGATCTAACATTATATATACGTTATATTCGCCGAGCTAATGTATAGTTTCATAATTTCCTAGAAAACGAGACGATTGGGAAATTCAATCCAGCAAAGTGGTGCTGCTAGAAGAACTCGGAGAAGGAGCGTTTGGTAAAGTATGGAAAGGATACGTCTGTAGGAAAGACCTTCTAAACAAGACGATACCAACTGAAGCTGGTGGAAAACGTGGGTTCAGAAAAACTTCCAAACAGTCTATGGTGGTTGCAGTAAAAACACCACACAGTGGTGGTAAGTTTGAAGGAGATAAAACTATGAAGAGATTTAGTCGTCGATCGGTGATATGAGTGCGATTGACTTCATAGCACATAAAACGTCAATTCAGTGGCTATAACACATCTTATCTAAGATTGAGTGATTTTCTCAGTAGGCGAAAAATGCACTGAAGAAGTCAAAAATGAGCTTCTTCTAGAAATCGAGTTTATGAAGACTGTTGGATATCACAAGAACATCATCTGCATGCTTGCTTGCTGCACGTTGGAGGAAAATGTGCTTTTRGTTGTGGAATATGCCGAAAATGGAGATTTATTGACGTTCTTGAGGAATACTCGGAAAAAGGCGAGTCTTCACATGTGACCAGGGGGGGACTTCCCTATAAAACATGGTAGGTATGCTCGACGGACCTTTTAGGGTCGAAAATAAAACCCTCGCGTACCTTTTTAGGGTCCTAAGCTGACTCCGTACCTTTCACTGGRAACCATCGCGCGCTTTAAAGGTTGTAAATTTGATGTAAATATGATGTAAGTGTTCAAAATTCTGTAAATTTAATGGAAATCATTTACATCAAGATTTACATCAGAATTTTGAACACTTACATCATAAATACATCAAATTTACAACCTTTAAAGCGCGCGATTTTTTCCAGTGTTTAAGGGGCAATTTTCGAAGAACAGGAAAAAAATTGAAGAAGTGTCAATAAAAAATAGATTTAAGTAACCTCAACAATCTATCGACATTGATTTTCCACAGTTTGTTAAACTTGAGCTTCTCTCTTGTTGAAGACGTCAAAAATAGTCGTACCTTTTAGGGTCTGGAATCGATGCCTGAATTAATTAATGACCTTTTAGGGTAATTTTTCAATCCGTCCGTCGAGCAAACCTACCGTTTTTTATAGGGAAGGTCCCCCCCCCCCCCTGGACACATGCGATGGTTTTCGAATGTGAAAAGCTGATTGGTTGTCTTTTCTGATTGTCTCAATAATTAATGTGATAATTATGTGTAGATGGCCACAAGAAACTCTTCTGAAACTAAATACGATATCCTTGAAGATCAAGTCAGTGCAGCATCCCAAGATAACACAGACGAAGGCTTTCCAATAGAAAAGCTACAAAGTGATTTCATCTCATTTTCCTGGCAGATTGCCAAAGGAATGGTAGGTGAAAATCAAGTTAATGTGTAACTTTAGAGACCTCGGAGCATATTTTTAGTTTGAGTGATAGGGGAGGATGGGGGAATGAGGAGGTAAAAAACTTTATTGAATTTACATTCTCACGAGAGGGAAAGCAGGAGCTTAACATTTTATATCACTACTGGGGAGATGATGTTGAAATGTGTGTGAAAAGCATTGAAAAAGTGTGGAAAATCAACAAGCTTGTGAAATGGAGGCATGTACATTCATCAAAAACATTTCACATGTATGTGAACGTTGTAAGCAATAGGCAGGATTAATTACCACAAAAGCGCAACAAGAGTTCAGTGTAAATAAGCTAATTTAAAAGAGTAATTATGGAAAGAATTGGGCTTATATCATTATAACGAAAACACTTAATTAGTAGACTATACTGTTCATATTTAGTTATACATAGAATAATACATTATAATTTTTATATGCACATGTATTTTATGATCAATTTCAAAGATATTCAAGATATTTTTTTTGGTTTAATTGTCTCCAATATGATATTATTATAGTATTATCCATTGAAATTTTGTTATCCATGATGAGCTTTTCACAAGATTTCTTATGACATATTTTCACATACAATGTATTTCACATATATTTCACATGCTTCTAGAAGTGAAAAATAATACATGTAGAACTTCCATACATTTCACATACATTTCACATGCTTCTAGAAGTGAACATCAATACATATATATTTTCACTAACATTTCACATATATTTCACATGCTTCTAGAAGCGACAATGAATACATGTATAATTTCATATACATTTTACATATATTTCACATGCTTCTAGAAGTGACAAATACATTTCACATACATACATTTCACACACATGTTCACATACTTCTAGATGTGAAAAATACTATACATGTAGAATTACCATACATTTCACATATATTTCACATGCTTCTAGAAGCGAAAATTAATACATGTATAATTTCACATATATTTCACATGGTTCTAGAAGTGAAAAATAATACATGTAGAATTTTCCTACATTTCACATATATTTCACATGCTTCTAGAAGTGAAAAATAATATATGTAGAATTTCCATACATTTCACATATATATTTCACATGCTTCTAGAAGTGAAAAATAATACATGCAAAATTTCACATACATTTTATATATATTTCACAAGCTTCTAGAAGTGAAAATATTATATATACAATTTCACACACTTTTCACATGCTTTAAAAGGTGAAAAAAGTGATGCATCAATTTCACATATATTTCACTTGTATGTCACATTTTCATTTGCTCTCACAACATGTCATTTCATTCACATTGCAATCCCATGTGAAAATTTACTTTTAAACATTTCACATACATTTCATACACATTTCACATACTCTCTTCCAGTTTG